AACTAGCTATATATTATTTATATATAGCAAGTTTTTAAAACTATACTCATAGTAATTAATAATAGTATTTTATATTAAGCTTTAGATATTATATTAATAGAGATACTAATAACGTTAGTATAGTAAATAGCCCTATTAGCTAAGATATAGTAGTATGAAGCGTAGGAGGATTTATAGTAGTATAGCTACTATAAGTACCCTATTAATTAGTCTCAGAAAGTCTCTTTTTTGAACCACGCAGCTTATATAACGCAGTTACCTGGGGCTGAGGCCCGCAGGATCAACTATGCAGGTCTCTTGTACGGAAATCTCCAGGGCATCTATTTGGCCAGAGCCGTTCGTGCCGTTGACGGTTGCCAGGAACGGCAGCCACGGCAGAGCCACCAAAAAGCCTGGAAGCTGTGGCAGACACCCCTGCAGCGCCTGCGAGATTGGGGGAGCCAGGATGAACGCGGATAAGCCGGGGGGCCTGGGGGGGAAAGAGAAGGCGTGGCGCTAGTGACAGCCACGGCATCAGCAATCTTTGAAGATGCTGCGAGGCCAAGGCAAGAAGATATCGAAAAGGAAGACTGGCATGTGGTATTATAATGGGTTGCAGCGGCGCAATCTCGTCCATGTTTATTTTCCGCTGGATCTGCTGCTTCTGCCAATCCGACATCCTGTATTCGGATGGCAATATCGGATGCTGGCTTGCAATGGCGCAGAGGCTAAGAGGCGAATTTCGACAAGCAAGACATACTAGACAGACGGGTGACTGGCGGGCACTTGGCGCCGGGGCGGAATGGCAGCAGAACGAAGAGAATGCCATGGACGAGTCAATGGAGTTCTGAACCACGGTCTCGGCACGGCGTTGTGGAGGAACACGGCCGGGAGGTAGCCGTTGGTCCAGCCATTCAGAGACAGGAGCGCTGTCGTGAGCTGCTGAAAAGTCAGGGCAAACTTCCATGGTACGTGGGCCGACCCTCATCAGCTAGACATGGACGGGCAAGTGGGAGGCGATATTGTCGTCAGCGCTCAGCCGCCTCTTCGCAAGAGATATGCCGGGCTCGCTGCTGAGAATCGAGATGCGCGCTGGCGCGTTCTTGGACAGTTTTAGCGTCGCCGAAAGAAGCGTGTTGAAGTGGCTAGTGACGCGAAAATCAGCGACAAAATGCGATGTGTGGTGCTGGCAGCGGTGGTTTTGGGGTCTCGTATCGCTTCTGTGGTTGGTGCCGGGTATGTACGCCGTCTCATCCAGCGCCTCACTGCTGCACAGTCGATGCACAGTCGCTGCACCGCAGATGGGATAGACTGACAACACTGCAGCAGCGCAGACGATGGGATACATGATGGCATTGGTTCCAGGGAGGGCGTTCAAGTGCAGAATGCCAGCTGCAGCGGACGGACCCCGGCCCGCCCACACTGACTTCCCGCAGTGGCAGCGCTGCATCTGAACGAATGACAACCTGCAGCGCAAAGTGTTCCGGGTCTCCAAGTTCCTGTCGGACGCGTCGCGCTATCAGCACAGCCTTCGAACCAACTTTTTTCTTCTGCTGTTGTTGGTGGTGTCCCGGGGGCCGGTTTTATGAGCAGGGCCGGGGAGGTCGCAATCCATGATTTGATAATGTGCGAACGGTTGCTTGTGCTGGTTTGGAGCCGACCGTATGTAGATTGAGCCGATATTTGAATTCCGTTACAGAACTTGCTTCTTTGCGAACCCTCGTCTTCCAGCTGCAGTTCCAGGCCACGGCTTCTGCCCATCGCCATTCGGATGGCCGAGCAACTGCGTCATCGAGTGCCGCGGGTGAATGTGGTGCTGGCAGCCCTGAAATGATGGTCTAATCAATCAAAACGGCAGACTGGCGACAAGATGAAACATTTTGTGGATGAATTGTTGAAGGTTGTTGTGTTAGCGAACGGGCGGTTTTTATTCAGCTTGCCCGGTCCTATCCGCGGCGGCCGGTAGTTGCTGGCAGTTGCACTGTACTTGGCGCAGGTTTGACACCATTTTTCGAAATTCGACGGCCTCTAACCAGGATGGAGGCCGACGGGATCAACGATGGATCATGGGGATGGACGGTTCGCTGGGCTTTTGTTCGATGATTCGAGCGACAGGTTTCGGGGCTGCTTGCTGTTGTGGTCGATTGGCCCATCGAGCGGCGGCGCGCAGAACGGCGGTAGGCGGGCAGGGGTGTAGACTCGAGGAAAGGTCGAACCGCAGATTGATTGCCAGAAGAGGCCTGGCTCGGCAGCCTCGGTCTTGATTGGTACTGGAATGGGAAGAAGGGTGGATTGGGGGGAGTCCTTGGTTCAAGCTGTTTGTGACACTTTTGAAGCTGGAGAGGAAGTCCCGGCGCAGGCAATGTGCGTCTGATGGGGCCTCAGGCGCAGCCGACCCCCTCTGGCAGCAGTGCCAGAGTCTCAGAGTGGCCAGCAGTGGGCACCCGGCCAGTCCAGCTTGTCCATCGCGTCTGACCTTGGCAAGGTTTGTGTTTGAGAGCCGCCAGTCGCTGTCCAAGAAAACTGCGGATAACTGGAGCGGCGAAGAGTCCGTCGGTCCTTAGCTTTCCTCCATTCTTCTGATATGGATGCTGGTCCCTACTGATACAGGGAACGATGTTGCAATTCATGTAAGGTACAGACAGCGATCGGTGGAGGCGACCAGCGTCTTGATTGCTGTTATTTGTTTTTCTGGTCGCTGTCGGTGTGTTGTGGTCGAAGATGGGCGAATAGCCTGCACAAGAAATCAATAAGTTCAAGGTTTGGTTCCGGGCCCGTCGGTCGATTGTGCATTGACTAGATTTTTCGTCGTAAGTTGCTGCGTCGTACAGGAGCAATGTAGTTTTATGACGATGGCCCGCGTGTTGAAATTCCTGCACGGAAAAGTCTCGACTCCTCTTTTCACCTCGTCACTGCAGTTCGTCCTATGTAGGATACCTTACGGTTGTCAAGTCAGTCAACTGCAGCGAGAAAAAAAAAAAAAAAAAAAAAGAGTTTTGGCTGACTGTTGCCCTGCCCATTGACTTTGAGGCCTAGCATTGACACCACAGCGACCTTTGTTCAGCAGGTTTGTGTCTGTCTGGACTTCTGTTGTGCTTGTGCCTGTGCCTGTTCCTATTCATCTTTGCGACAGCCACACCCTCTTTTCTGCTAGCGCGGCACCCCACCCTCCACTCTTCATCTCAACCCCTTGCCCCTGGACGCACCAAAGTGGCTCCCGATAGACGGAGCTAGGCCAGAAACCAAGACGTTCAAATCTCGCCAGAACGGTGGGAAGCAGGACAATTATTGGCATTGCCCAATGGGTCCTGGTTTCTCTTCGGCCGTGACCACTGCCATCCACCATCCCATCGCGATTCCATCATTGCTCGAGATTTTCTATCATGTTGGCCGCAGGGTTTGCTTTCTCTATCAGGAAGCGACAGAACGGTCCAGAGTCGGCAGTTAAAAAAAACAATGCCTGGAGTCGAGAAAGGGGTAGCGAAGCAAGGCGAGCAGGGAGGCAGGCTCTCAGACGGGGATCAGATGCAGATGGACCGAAGTCAATTCAACCCACTGACAGCCGCCAATTCGTATTGCTGGCCGTCATGACCGTCATCGTCATTGATTGACAGACTTTTGCTTGCTGCCACCGTCTGCCAGTCTCTGTCTGCTGCCATGGCTGGCGGCGGCGAGTCCGTGGTAGAAGCACAGAATCTACACCTGACTATTGTGGCAAGTGTACGTATTTAATCGAATACGCGGTCTCTGATAGTGTGTATCCATCATCGTCTACCTGACGGTTGAGCAATGAGCAAGCAGCCAGCACAGCACAGCACAGCACATGGAAGACAACACCCAACGGCAGCCCTCTCGCAGTCCGACAGTTGTGTCAGTCCAAGCCAATCCGTCTTGGCTCCTGGCCATCTCCCATTTCTCGACGCCGTCCTGACTTGACGGTCTTGAGTCTTGATTGACCACCACACCCACGCCGGCGTCTCCTGGACCTGATCCCTGCCATGGTTACTTTGTATCCGCAGTCTGCACCACGAATAGCAGCGTGATAATTGCCCTGACCCCCCTCCTTTCGGGCCATCCCCTGTCTCTCTCTCTGCAAGCCCACACTTCAGTCCCCCCCTTCGCCTGCAGTGTTTCCCCTTCAAGCCACGCCCTCCCTTCTTCCCCCGACCCCCAAGCCTGAGGACCTAAGACCAAGACCAAGACTAAGACCTTGGACTGACCTTGGCCTCTCTCTTCTCCTTCGAAAGCACCACACAAAGACCATTCGTATCCCTTCCTTCCCCCAGACCTTTTCTCCCTCTTCCCTTTTCCGTGACAGCTTCATTCTGTTCGTTTTGACCTTTCAATTCCCGTCTCTCGTTCACCTTACTACCCTAAAAGGCTGTCGTTTCCTGCCTAATCTTCCTTTTCTTTAACCTCGGAAAAAGAAGAACAAACACACACGTGGATAAAGGTACGTAACCGCTGCCGACGTGACTCCGTGCAACGACGCAGAAACAGCAGCAGGAGGAGAGGGAACCCGAACCCGATCAAGGAAGGAGACGCAGGAAGGAAGGACCGGACGCACCTGCTCTCTGCCAATGCTCGGCAGGAAAAACTTCCAACGGGAATCACCTCTCCTCCTGCCCACTGCTCTGTTGTCGCCTCTCCCTTCGCCCACACACTTCACTTGCCACCACCAAAATACAAGCCATCGTCGACGCCTGCAGAAAAAGGAGGCAGCGGCTCTCCCCTCAGAAACACAACAGAAACACACCCCAAGCCCCAGCTCCATCCAGTCCACTTCCAACCTGGATTGGCACGCCTGATTCACTCTCTTCCTCCCTTCTCAACTTCTCTTCAACAACCGTCGCGCTTTTTGGACCGCAGCTTCAGAGTTATCGACTTGGAGCAGACCGCGTCGACCGCCCCCCAAACAAATCAACGCTTTCATTATCATTCCGCTTCAACTATCACCGCGAGCCGTTGCTCTCGAATAATCTGCTGACCCCGACTCCCTCAGCGCTCAGAAGTCAATCACAATGCAATCCAAGCTCATCCCCGCCCTCGCGGCCCTGGGTGCTGGCCTCGCCTCCGGTAAGTTGAACACAACTGCGCTTTCGCCGCGAACACCATGGACTAACTCGCGATCACAGCCCAGAGCAGCAACATCTGCTCCTCAGCGACGGTCACCGTCACCGATGCTGCCATGGCCACCAACATCCCCTGCACCACGATCCAGGGCTCCGTCAAGATCTCCGAGGATATCTCTGGTAACATTGATATCAACGGTCCCAAGACCATCAAGGGCGACCTGATCGTTACGAACGCTACCAACCTTGTCGGCCTTTCCTCCTCCTCGCTCGCCACCATCGAGGGCAGCTTCACCATGCAGGGCCTGACCCTCCTGTCCGACCTCCGCTTCACCCAGCTTGCTACCGTCGGCTCCATCAGCTGGATCACCCTGCCCGCTCTCGGCTCCCTCGTCTTCGGAACCGCTGGTGTCACCAAGGTTAACAACATCGTCATTAGCGACACCTTCCTCAAGTCTCTGGACGGCCTGAACGTTGCCTCCGTCGATGAGCTCCACATCAACAACAACAAGAACCTGGTCTCCTACAGCAACCAGCTGGCCAACGCTACCAAGACCATCGAGATCAACTCCAACGGTGCCGACTTGGGAATTACTCTCCCCAACCTTATCTGGGCCAACGAGATTATTATTGCCGATGCCGCCAAGGTTGAGATGCCCTCTCTCGAGGTTGTCAACTCCTCCATCAAGTTCGACAAGAACACCTTCACCGAGTTCATCGCCCCCAACTTGACCCAGTGCAGCGATGGTGATGTCTCCTTCATCAACAACGTCGAGCTCGCCAACCTCTCCCTGCCCCTCCTCACCAAGACCGGCGGTGGTCTCACCATCCAGAACAACACCCTCCTCCAGAAGATCGACGGTCTCCCCAAGCTCGAGCAGATTGGCGGTGCTGTCCTTCTCCGCGGTAACTTTTCTGAGTAGGTCTTGTCTGCGCCATTAAGCTTTTATCATTACTAACAGTCTCTCAGGGTCTCTATCCCCGCTCTCGACGACGTCAAGGGTGCCTTCGACCTCCAGTCCACTGGTGATATCGACACCTCTTGCGACGTCTTCAACAAGATGGAGGGCAAGCAGATCCAGGGCGAGTACACCTGCCGCAGCAACAACACCAACGCCAACTCCGACTCCGGCACTGGCGGCAGCGCCGGCGGCACCACGTCCGGCGGCTCTGAGGGTGCTGCTGGCATCGTCTCTGTCAACACCGCTGTCCTTTCCCTGGCCATTGTTGGCGGTCTGGCTCAGCTCCTGTTGTAAACGACTGTCACTGGGATAGGGTTCGGATAATGGTGGCGTTCTCCATACATCTTTCAATGTTTGTGCAATTTCTTTGAGTCCAATTCTGTTTTAACAGCTTGCGACACCCCACGCATTCCCTAGACTGGGAACCTCCTACGTATAGGAAAACCTCTAGACTTAATACCGGACGGCGGGTACGGAATACCCTCGTCGATTTTTCACTCCCTTTGCGTGACGAACCAAAAGCACAGGGCATTCCGTTACGTCCTCTCCACCATAGCGCTCGGCCTCGACCATGGTGCGCTCATCATCCCGTCCGGACTTTCTTGGGAATAGTACGGCTTGGTCGGGTGGCATACCGAGTGCTTGGATGACAGTGGCCGGATACGGGAGGCGGAATGGAAGATTCGTGGTGGACGGAGGCGTGAGATTGATGCGATACGGAGGTGGTTAGGCAACGAAGATAGAGAGGGTTGTAGTGTATTGAGGATCCATGATGTGTATACCTTTACTTTGTCTACTTGTTCCATTCTTGTGACACAACCTTCCGGTGACATTCGTCTTGAATTAAGCATAAGCTTCCAGTGAAAATCATATGGTGGCACGCGGTGGCGCCCAACACGTGTGTGAGATTATTCGAGGCCCTTGACTAACTACAATAGTTCCTGCGCCGGATTATATACAGTAAACTGTCATGGCCAGAGCTACGCCGCAAACTATCGATATATGCCCTGCTCAAACTTGGCCGTGTCGTAGAACTTGGGTATCACGGTATTGCCGTTGAAAATGCGCCCGTCAAGTTCGTTTACAGCCTGCGGTGAGTGTGTCAGCGCCTGTCTACTCATACAAGCCCAGACCAGGTAGGGCTTTGGACTTACACGAAGCGCAGATACTTGATCGGTGAATCGAATGAAGACCTGCCGGTTCTCGACGTCGATGTACAATCGCTCCACACGGCCGTACTGCGGGTTGGTGTTAGTAAGTCAACACAAACTTGCCAGCTAACCTGCAAAAGGGCGTGTGGGTGCTGCTCTTCTCTCACCTTTTCGCCGCACTCCTCGCCAATCTCCTGTCCCAGCCCGTTGGCAATCTCGCCCTGCAGGTCCTCCATGTTATCCAGCATGTGCTGGAGGACGATGACCTCGCTCATGGGCCCGCCGAACTTGCCGCCGCCGTCGCCCTCGGCGTCCTTGCGCCTGCCACCGAGGATCTTGGCGCGGTTGGCGGGGTCGGCCCAGCCGCCGCCCTCGGCGTCGGACTTCTTCTTGCGCTTCTCGACCTGCACGCGCAGCGGGTTGACGATGCCGCCCTCGTCGGCGCCGAGGCCGGAGCCCTTTGTCCAGCCGTACTTGGACATGAGGCGCTGGGCGAAGCCGGCTTGGCCTGGACGGTTGGAGCGCGGGGCGTCGGCGTCTTCGTCTGGGGCTGCTGCTGTGGAGGAGGCGCCGAGGCCGAGAGTCGGCGGCGGGGAGGCGGAGGCGGATCTGGAGGGTTCCTGGCGGGTGTAGCGGACGGGTGCGCGGGAGATTGTTGCTTCGTCTGCCGGCGGCGGGGGCGGAGGGGGGTTCGAGGAGGACAGTGCGAGGCGGCGGGCGTAGGCGTCGTCGCCTGTTGCGTCGTCCGGGGGCGGAGCTGCTGCTGAGGCTGCTGGTGGTGGTGGTGGTGAGGCTGGGGGAGGGGGCACGAAGGAGTATTCTGCGGGCGGGGCGAATTGGTCTTGAACGGTTCACAGATGTTAGCCTTTTCCGCACGCATACGCTTCTTTTTGAAGCCGCGAGGAACTCACTCGTCGCTGGCCGGGCGTCCTCCTCGTCGCTGTCGTCGCTGACGCTCCTCCCGCGGCGGTGACGGTACAGAAGCCGCTTCCACTCCTGGACCTCGCGGATGCGCTCGTCGCTGCGGAGGTACTCCTCGACGTTTGTGGGCTTGGAGGGATCGTAGATGTCGTCCCAGTTCGTCTCGACGTGCTGGTCGTGGTTCTTCTTCTTCTTCTTGCGGCGGCCGCCGCGCTGGTGGGAGCGGTCTTGGGGCCCGGCGTAGCGGAAGTCGTCGTCTTCCGTCGTCGCGGTCCAGTCTGCGAGGGTCGTCTTCGGCGGCGGGGCGGGAGCCGCTGTCGCTGTTGCTGCTCCTGTCGATGTCGCTGTTGTTGAGGACGGGGCCGCGCCTGGGATTTGTTTTGGGAACGTCGGTTTCGCTGGCTTTGAGGATTTGACTTGCGGGCGGCGGATGGGTTGGAAGCGCAGGGCTAGGCGGGTTTGTAAGTTGAGAGGCAGAAGGGGGTGATGGTAAGTGGTGAGAATTACATGGGTCTATAAGCTTCTTCGCCGCTGCTTCATCTTTGGCGTCGCCTGAGGAGACATCTTGGTTGTAGCGGACTGGCGCGCTGGATATCGTCGCGGAGGAGGAATCGGCGGCCGGGTCGAGGAGGTTTGCGTAGAGAGACAGTCCGCCTCGCGCGGTGGGAGGCGGAGGAGGCGGTGCTGCCATTGAGCGCGCGATTGAGGGTTTGGAAGCTGTAGGAGAGGTTGACGAGCTAGATGGATGTCTTTCAAAAGTGATGTGGCGCGTGCGGTCGTCGTTCGTGCAGGTTGACTGGAGCTATCTCAATCGTCGCAAAGAAGATGCAAAGTCGCCCTCAGCCTGGTTCGCGAGGCGGAGTTGAAGCTGACGGGAGCTGCTGCAAAGACCCACCCGAGTCAAGGTCCCGGAGCGCAGGTGCAGCAGGCACTTCAAGGTTCTGTCATGACTGCGGGCCCGTCCGCCTGGGTGGTTTCAGCGCCTTAGGCCTCTCGCTGAACCGCTGGGGCCACTGGGCCACTGGGAACCCACCCCCTGCGGGATGCGGCACGGCGCCCAGCTTTGCCGCGCAATTCACGGTCTCCCCTGGGGCCCTCTTTTGCTGGACAAACCTGGAGGCGGGTATCTTTCAGTGGGCGGTCCATATGGAACACGGCAAAATGGGACCGGGGCAATCCGGCTTGTCCTAGGCTGGGCTGGCGTCCTGAGCACATCATCGTCCTAGCCAGGTTTCCTCTTTCCTATCAGACGAGGATTTATCGTTCATTGCGTGTCGTGTGGTGGTGGTTTTTTCTTGGAACATGTTCAAACATTGACTTGTACTTAACTCGATCTGCATCCTCACCGTTGAACGGCACTCATTTTTCCCTGTCCGAATCCCTCCACTGGTAGTCGCTACATCTAATTCCTATTCGCGCACTCTGCCATCTACTTAGGCAGACCTCGCTCGTCCCGTCTCTGTCAAGCCCCCCGAACCTTCTCCGAATTCGCTTGTGGTGGTGGTTGCAATCCGAACTGCCGGCGCGCATCGCATCGCATATTCATCACACCCTGAAATCCTCCTCCAATAAGGTACCTCGGGACTGTTGTATACAAGTGACCAAAGAGGTTGCACGGCTTAGCTCAACATGGCATTGACTCTCCAAACCGCAATCAACGGCCCGGCCAACTCGCCCGCCGTCATCATCCCGTCCAAGCCAACCGCCCTGACGGCAACCTACGGCGACCTCGTCCGCGAGACCGCAAACTTTCAGGGCAAGCTCGCCGCCATCGGCATCACCACCGCCTCACCCGTCTCCATCGCCACCGTCAACTCGTATGAGTTCATCGTCTCGTTCCTGGCCGCCTCATGGCAGCGCGGCATCGCCGCCCCCCTGAACCCGGCCTACAAGCAGGACGAGTTCGAGTTCTACATCGAGGATGTCAAGTCTGCCATCGTCCTCGTGCCCAAGGGCGCGTACGCTGCCGGCGCACCTGCCGTGAAGGCCGCCCAGAAGTTCAACGCCGCCGTCGCGGAGACGTACTGGGATGCGGCGAAGAAGGAGGTTGCGCTTGACGTGAAGGAGTTGGGACAGCTCAAGGGCAAGGGACCTACACAGGTGCTGAAGGCGCAGCCGGACGATGTCGCGCTGGTGCTTCACACCAGCGGAACCACCTCCCGTCCCAAAGTTGTGAGTTTTTGTGAGCTTTCGATGCATAGGTTGATATTGACAGTGAGCAGGTCCCTCTCACCCACCGCAACCTGACCAGAACGATGAGTGAGTTCTCAGTCTCATATCGTCTTCACCTCGTCACCCGCTAACATCAACAGAAAACATCGAAAACACATATCAGCTCACCTCCGCGGACCGCACGATGCTCGTCATGCCCCTCTTCCACGTCCACGGCCTCCTCTGCGGCCTCCTCGCCCCCCTGGCCACCGGCGGCTCCATGGTCGTTCCCTCCAAGTTCTCCGCCACCGAATTCTGGCAGGACTTCATCGCCCACAAGGCCAACTGGTACACCGCCGTGCCCACCATCCACCAGATCCTCCTCAAGAACCCGACGCCCAACCCGCTCCCGCAGATCCGCTTCATCCGCTCCTGCTCCTCCCCGCTCTCCCCCACCGTCTTCGCCCAGCTCGAGGAGACGTACAAGGCCCCCGTCCTCGAGGCCTACGCCATGACCGAGGCCGCGCACCAGATGACCTCGAACCCGCTCCCGCCCGCCAAGCGCAAGCCCGGCACCGTCGGCCTCGGCCAGGGCGTCGACGTGCGCATCCTCGACGACGAGGGCAACGAGCTCGAGCAAGGCAAGGAGGGCGAGATCTGCATCCGCGGCGAGAACGTCACCAAGGGGTACCTCAACAACGAGGCGGCCAACGCCTCGTCCTACACCAAGGGCGGCTTCTTCCGTACCGGCGACCAGGGCAAGAAGGACGAGGACGGCTACGTCGTCATCACCGGCCGCATCAAGGAGCTCATCAACAAGGGCGGCGAGAAGATCAGCCCCATCGAGCTCGACAACGTCCTCACGCGCCACCCGGCCGTGTCCGAGGCCGTCAGCTTCGCGATCCCGGACGAGATGTACGGCCAGGACATTGGCGTCGCCATCGTCCTGAAGCAGGGACAGCAGCTGAAGCAGGACGAGCTGAGAGGCTGGGTTGCGGAGAAGCTTGCCAAGTTCAAGGTTCCCAAGAAGGTGAGTTTGCAGCAGAAAGGCGCGATCGCGTGTTTACACATAAGCAATCGACTAACGAGATACCGCAGATTTACTTCACCGAGACGATGCCCAAGACGGCCACCGGCAAGATCCAGCGCCGCATCGTTGCCGAGAAGATGCTGTTGCAGGAGCAGCCCAAGGCCAAGTTGTAGACATGCCCTGGCCGCAGTAGACTGTAAGAGCTTTTTCTGTGCTAGAATCATAGAATCCTAGAAGACCGTGTAAGAAAAGGGTGTAGACCACAGACTCAGTAGAGAGGGGTATTCGCTAGAGCAAGATGTGTCAGAAGAGAGATTTCTCATTTAGATACCTAGATGGACAGGTTTTCCACATCTATAATCGCCCATCCGTATTAATGTTACAACGTGGCAGCCTCGTGAGTTCTCTGTCCCACGAAGCAGAGGCCGCTTCCAATATCACGCCAGGAGTCCAGTTCAGGACCACCATCATGTCCCAAGAGGGCTCTCGCCATCCAATTGCCTAACCTGCCCCGATTCAGAGCCCCGGACGCCATAAAAACCCAAAAACACCAGCAAAAGCTCAGCACTCAGTCGTAGTGGCCCCCCTCATCAGCATCATCATCGTCCAAGTCAGGATCCTCGCCCTCCTCCGCATCATAGAGCTTCTTCACCGGCTCCCCGGCGGGCTCCACCTTCCTCGGCACAATCTTCTTGGGCGTGACGCCGTGCACCTCGACCCAGATGCTCGCGCCGTCAGCGCCCTCCCACCGCGCCGGCTCAGCAATCGCGCTGTTGGTCTCGTTCTCGTCGAGCTTGGCGCCCTGCTCCTCCGCGAGCCGGCGCACCTCGTCATTGGCGTCAGCGAGCGCGGCGAAGACGCCCAGGACGGTGGTCGCGGAGCCCGTCTCGTCGCCGTCTCTGTAGAGGACGAGGTTGACGGCGTGGGGGAAGTCGCGGCGCAGGGGCACCGGGGCTGGGGCGGCGGCGGGTCGTTTTGAGGGCGGCGAGGCGCCGGCTGTGATTGCGGATGTTGAGGAGGCGGTACGCTTGTGCGCTGTTGTGTCTTGGTCCGACATCTTGATTGTCATTGAGTCCCTGCGTGGGTTTCTTGTTTTTGGGTGGTGGTTTGTTGTTCCCTTTCTTGAGTAATTCAAGATGTATAGGTGAGGGAGATGTGTAAATGTAGATGGAGGTGTAGATTCAAGATGAGTAAGGTGATCTGGTAGAAGAAGGTTCAAGTGAGATTAGAGATCGGTATGGGTATGTCTCAACCGATGAATTGGATTGTTAAAATCGCGAGTTTTGATGAATGCAAGGGAGCCTCTCTTCCTCGGTCTGCCTTTTATATCTATATACAGATATACGAGAACCGCCCAGAATCCGGTTATGAGTGATTATATGACTGATTATCACGGACGGATGGAGTACCTCGGAGAGGTCACTTCTAAGGAAACCCGGCGCCGCGGCGGCGGTGGGTATTTTCCTGGCCTGACATGGATCGATTCCCACCTGTCTGTGGACGTCACAAGGACAGGCAGGCTTTCGGGCGGTCCGATGACCGGCGGCGGGCGGAGTGATGCTGCAATGCGCTGCACTGCGCTGCGGCGCTGCAATTGAGTGCTGACTGGACCCCCGGAATACAGGGCAAAAAAAAAAAAAAATTTAAAATTTCTGGGGGCGTCACTGCGGCTGGAATTGGAGCTTCGGGGTTGAGATGCCAGAGCGCGAGTGCGCGAGGTGCGACGGCAGCCGACTGTAGCCAGCTCGCTGCACTGCGGGCCCCGCTGGTTCCCCAGTGTTGGGGCTGGAATGTCTGTGTGTGCTGGGGGCAGGGATGTATGGTCGATGGAGCTCTGGTCTTGCTTCTGTGGGAGTTTCCTATGTCCGATGGTATCATTCGGGGACTTGACTTTGCTCACATGAAGCAGTTGCCAAGGTAAGAGTCATCAGAGGAGGGCGGGACGATGGACTGAGCTTGAGCTTTGCTCGCTGCTCATCACACATCTCGGCCTGGCTTTGACCTTCCTCGCTGTCACCGTCGGGGAGACATGCCCCCCGCCTGTTTGCCCAACTTCTTCTCTGCTGTCTTTCTGTTTCTTTTCCGAATGTTGGCATTAACTAGATCTGGATCGGAATGGTAGCCTCCAAAGGGTGCGGAAGCTCATCCGGGTCCACGCAGGTCGCAGAATCGGCCCGGTCCCGCACGAAGTCCTTGAATTGTTGGGTCGTGGTCTTGAGCTTACGGCCACGTTCCCCATGTGTCACTGTTAGTAGTTACTCAGCTATGAGGCGTTCATGAATGAACCACAACCTCCTCGAGACCTGGATGGCTCTCTCCAATATGATGTCACAGGGGCGGTTTGAACCCCTCACGACAAATCACTGCTGGACTCTGTCATCACGACGCGCACTGTCACGGGCGGCTGAGATGCCATCTGAACTCTGCAGAAGCTCGAGCTCCCGCTCGTGGTCGAACTCTCCCAAACGCATGTCATTGGTTCATAACTGAGTGCACTTGAGTTTGCCTCGTCCCGTTTATCTTCCCATTACTTCAGACTGCCATCCTGATTCCTGGCAGTCCGACGCGGCCAGTAAATGAATACAAGGACCAACCCAAACGATTCAAATCCTTCTCCGTACGCCAAAATTCGCAACGTAACAACTCATCTCTACGCCTCGGCCTGTTCCTCAGCCGCAACCCTTAGCTCGTAGTTGAGCTCGAAGCACTCCGCAAGAAGCTCGGTGACACTACCCTGGCCTTCCGGAATGTCGTTGTTGATCATGAACTTGCCGTCTTGGCGCATATTGTCGATAGAATGGAGCTGCATTTGGTTAGTCAGAGATTCAATATGACGACGAAACACATACCTTCATGCTGTAGGGGTATAATTCCCGGACCGACTGAACGCCACCGTTGTTCTTCACCTCAATCAGACATCTCTTGAGCGTTTGCAACTGGTTGTAGATGGGCAGCAGAGCCTCAGATACGGGCTCTGAGGATATCATCAGGGAATAGACGTATGCGTAACTTCTTCGGATCAGGTACAGAAGGGTCTGCCAAGAGCGTCAGTTCCGATGCAGCCAAGCCTCTCGTAAGCACTTACACGCTGAACATAAAGTTCTGCTGGCTTGCCTTGATCATCAAGCCAGTTTCCGTCGACTCGACTCTCGTCAATCTTGTCCAGCTGTCTTTGGAAATCAAACAAATCGGCTTCTCGAAGAGACCATGCTTGTGTGATTGAAAGTTTTTCCAGCTCGTTTCGGATCCGCACAAGGATGTCGTAGGTTGCCTTGAACGGCTCGGGTATCACGCCTTGCCTCTCGAGGACGATCTCCGACCATTTGAGGCATTTCTCCAAGAGATCGGCAACCTCGTCACTTCCGGCTGGCACCTTGCCGTCGTCGCTCACGAACTTGCCATCCTTTCTCTTCTCGCCGATTTCGCGCAGTTGGACTTGAAGCTTCTGGACCTCGGACGGGGAAAACTGCGGCCATGTCAGGAATATTGTTCGATATCGCTAGGCCACACACGTACCTTCGTTCGAGTGTTGGCCAATGACATCGATCTCAGGATCGAAATTAGCTTCTCGTACGTCTTGGGGAGGGGATCCTCAAGGCGGTCCAGTCGCTTCTGGAGTTGCTCCAATGACTTCTCGCACAGCTCCAGTCTCTTAGACAGCAGAGTAATCAGGTATGGCGAGTAGTCGCTCTCGGTGGATTTGACATTGTGTGCAAGCTTCTTGACGGTGTGAGAGATGCTCTCGAGGTCCTTGGACGAGAATAAGTCGACTTCGGTAAGGTGATCGAGGAGTCTCCTGATGGTAGACGTCAGGGCATAGGCGGCAGGAGCTTCGTTGTTTCGGCCGATAGTCATGAAGAAGAGCGACAGGAGTTGGAAGCAGCTCTCCAACACTCTGTCCACTGTAGCGCGAGGTTAGCCGTTGACCCCGCACATGGGTGCGATAGCGCATTACCTCTGTTCTCCTCCCTTCGGTCAGCAGACCGGAACTCGTTGAGCTCGCGAACCTGCTCAATAGTCTCGTCGTACAGCGGGATGACATCTTGGCTGCGAATGTAGTTGGTGCGGTCTTGCTTCAACAGCTGTAGCCGGTCGCGGATCGAGACGAGCTTCTCGAGGATCTCCTTTTCGCGAGCGTCCCGCGGGGGAGGGCAGGTAGGGGTGTCCATCGCGTGTGACGTAGTTTACGACGGGCGCTGGTTGCTGGGAGGGTTGTAGATCTGAAATATGGGAGAAGGACGGCTGTTCGCGATCATGGACGGCCAAAGCATGCAGCTCGCGCGTTGAATGTCGATACCCTTGCAGGTCTGCCAATGACCAGACATTCAAGGAAGCACAGTAGCGGGGCTCTCTAGGTAAGGTTGACGGCAGCTAAAGTCCGAATGACGATATCGTCTGTGGATGGGGATGGCGTGAAGTATTCAGTAAACTGGGGAAGACCCGAGTTGTATTGATAAGATATCTGTGACAAAGAGCTCTGCCGTGGCATCCGCGCAGAGGTATGTAAGTAAATGCGGATGATGCTCGTCACAGGTTCACCCAGCTGGCCCGGAATCCAATGGAAGCACGTCAACGCTTGTGATAGAGGTGGGGGGGCATTGGTACGGCCACGGCTGGGAAAGTCAAATCGAGGCACCGAGGTGGGGCCAGACCCAAGTGACACCGACGCAGCGGAGGCAGGCATGCCCAGGCCGTCGATCGGCGCTGCCATTGGCTCGCTAGTATGACCAATCACATCTACTGAAGAACTCCCAAAACGCTCTAGCGTGTCTTGCTGGTTGCACCCAATCCGAGACCTCAGATTCGCCCAAGCGAGAGAGATCCATCAAATATTGCAGTAGCCCATACTGCCCGCCTCGGCGCGCTGGTTAACAGCATAGGCGGTACGTACCGGCAGGGCTTGACCAAAGCGACCTCAGGGCTTGCCCACACTTCACTTTTCCCGACTTCGTATATCGAGCCAACTCCAAATTTTCTATCAACATCCGCGAAGTCACCTTCAGTCGCAAACCCCCCAAACCAGTCACAATGTCGACCGCCGAGCTCGCTTCTTCCTACGCGGCCCTCATCCTCGCCGATGATGGTGTCGAGATCACTGTGCGTCGCCGCCCACCACCCAGTAACCCCGCCGCGAAGAAAATGCGAAATTCGAAAATTCGAGATGGAACCAAATGTAACTAACAACAATTGCTTCAATAGGCCGACAAGCTCCAGACCCTGATCAAGGCTGCCAAGATCGAGGAGGTTGAGCCCATCTGGACCTCTCTGTTCGCCAAGGTACGACGCGCCGACCGATGACATTCCAGAAAAGCGACCCGAAGAAAGAATGGCATAGACTGATTTGAGGATCACAGGCTCTTGAGGGCAAGGACGTCAAGGACCTGCTCTCCAACGTCGGCTCTGGCGGTGGTGCTGCCCCTGCCGCTGCCGGCGCCGCTGCTGGCGGTGCTGCCACCGAGGCTGCCGCCGAGGAGGCCCCCAAGGAGGAGGGTACGTTTCGAACATCCGATCGCGTGTCACTTGTCGCATCTGCTAATGCCTGCCACAGAGAAGGAGGAGTCCGACGACGACATGGGCTTCGGTCTCTTCGACTAAGCGGTTTCCTACGACGATTTCCCTTTTGTACTTCAAATGCATGGTTCCGGGGGTTCTACGAATCGCGCGATCGTAAAGGATTGGGTGGAGGCACGATATCCTGCTGCCTGGACAGAGTAGCTCTCATACAATAATGTGAAGCTCTCTACGCGGAGTTCACTGGACATCCTACAAAAATGAAAGTGGAATTTGGCGTGCTTTGAACACACACCGGGCCACAGTGCCTCAATGGAGTCTTGGACGCCGACATGATACACCAGCTTAGCTTGAGTGGGAATGGCTTATGATCCTGATCTTGGTTCAATTGCGTGTGACGCTTGTGACAAGTCATCAACCTTGCTTCTGTTTGCTACCTCCCCAACGCCGGTCCATGCATAACCCCCCTCCCCGAATTGAAAGTCTAGAAAACGAATCTATTTGACAATGAGAACGGCGCTTGGCGTTAGGCCGGCCTCCGTCAGCGTCTTGCTGAAGTCTGTCGCGCCCTGGAAGGTCTTCTTGGGGAACGTAGTCGAGAAGCTGGTGACCTCGAGGCTGTTCTCCGTCTGCAGCATCTGAGCAACTTCGAAGAGGGTCGTCTCAGCGGGAAGAGTCTTCATGACGTTGCCGCCAGAGGTCTGCAGTCTCAGACGAGCTTCGTTGTGGTTCGCGGTAGTCTTGGGGACGGATGGCGCTGCGACAGGGCCGGGCTGAGGAGCTCTTCCCTCTCTCGCCGCCTTGGCCTCCTCCGCCTTGCGACGACGCTCCTCCTTGTCGGCCTCGATCTTTGCCTTGATGCGGCGCTTCGCCTCAGCGTCGTCGAGCTTCTCCTGGCGCTTCTTCGCGGCCTCCTTGATCTGCTCCTTGCGCTGGAGCTCCTCCTTCATCTCCTGACTCTCCTTGGTCGCCTTCATACGGATCTGCTCGTTCCGCTTGGCATCCTCCTTGTCCACGAGGGCCTGCTTAGCCTTCTTCTCCTTAAGCTGCTCGCGAAGCTCGGCCAGCTTAGCAGCCTTCTGATCGTCGGTCAAAGGTGCAATCTCCTCCGTAGACTCGGAGAAGTCGGTGTGGTCACTGAGAGTGTGTCAAGAGTGAAGCGAGGGTAAGAATCTTGCCGAAGGAGGAGCTTACGTCTTGGTGGCATGGTATGAGGCGGTGTCCTGGGACTTGAAGCGCTTGCCGCATTCGTTGCAGACCAGCGACTTGGCAACTCCAGTCTCAAGGGCCTCAATGTTGGCCTGAACCTCATTCTCGTCATCTTCATCGGCCTTGGCAGCGTCGGCAGCAGCAGTGAGCTCATCGAGGGGCTTGTCCTGGTTCTTCTCAAGCCACTCAAGAGCGCCGTTCACTGTAAATGATGAGCGTGAATCCAAACAAAATCAGGTCTTTGTGAAGTGCTCACAGTTTCCAGTCTTCTTCACTGCAAGCTCAGCGCGGGCCTTCTCAAAGCCCATGTCGAGCAGCTGGTCGAGGTCGGATTGGGTCATGTTGACTGCTGGTGGTGGAATGGCGGGGTAGGTTGTTGAGGTTGAAAAAGTGAGGTTAGGTGTAGCTGGACAGGTTGCAATCCAAAAGTACCTTTGCTAACTTAGGTACTGATTCACAGAAGGTAGCAAAGTGAGTAATTCAGCCTGGATTCTGAAGGAGGAAACAATGGATTCGGCACTGCAAACGAATTGGTTTCGGTTTCGCGACAGATGGCATGCAGCTGTATGTGAAAGCACTGGCGTTCCTTAGAAATATGACCTGAGTCGTTGCTTCCGCGAAACGGACGTCATCCGCAGGTGCCTTCGGAGCTGGGGATAGAGGATAGAGGGGCTGAGGCACCTTGGGTAGAGTGGCTGAGGAGACGCTGGAGGCAGCTCGACAAGGGTAGGCGCCACCTTCCACTTTCGCCTTTGCCTGAGGTTAGGTAAGCTGAGGCACCTGGCTACGGAGTACCCGTACCCTGCTGCACCTTACCGACATTGGCGCAGTGGTGCAATCACGTCCCTTCATTTTGAGTGGACGAACTCCCGGATTATCCCCCCTGTCGATGGGCCCGGGCAGCTCGTAGCTCCCAGTGGAGGCCCCAGCGAGCAACTCCGATTTGACCGCCCGCTACCTCAGTCTAGGGGCTACCTTAATGAAACCTGGCCTGGAGGACTGAGGACGGGACCGACTGCAGCACCTGTTCCCAATCCCAATCGAGTCCAGCCCAGCCCGTTGTTGGTTACGCTGGTGTGTATTACGTCGTGGGCTCCTGCAGTGCGAAACACCTGCTTTTTGCACTTGCCGTTCTTACCTGAACCTGTATCCATACCTTACCTTCGCCTGCCTACCTGCCTACCTTACCTGACCCTTCCTTCCAGTTCCTGCCATTCAACACCAGAAACCTTGCCCTTGCCTTACTTACTGCCAGCGCTTTTTTAATATCGCCCCGCGCGCAACATTCTTTCACCTCTCTATACCTACATCACGCCGTACCTCACCTCTCGCAAATTTCTTCTTCTTGCCGAGGCCCGTATTGAATGCGCCGAAACTCACCGCGTCTCCTTTTCCGATCCTAATCTTCAACTTTGCACCACCGCAACCACCACCACCATGTCTGTCGATATCGAGCCTACCGAGCTGAGCTTCAAGCGTACGCCCCATCTAGCGACCTTCGATCGGCCTGATACTCACAAGTCCCAGGGCCCTTCACCGTTGAGGTCTCTCAGATCCTGCGCATCAAGAACCCGAACCAGTCTCCCGTCGCCTTCAAGGTATGTCACTGTGCATTCCCCTGCCGTCCCGTCACGTCACCCCATTGCTCACAAGACACGCCGACAGGTCAAAACCACCGCTCCTAAGCAGTACGGCTCCTTGCGCCTCGTGCATCCCTCGATTGCCGACTGACGATACCCCTTAGGTACTGCGTTCGCCCCAACTCGGGTCGTATTGAGCCTGGCCAGGATGTGGAGGTCACCGGTACGCTTCCCGGACAATTGCCAGGTGGTCACATGCAACTGACCAGAACCAGTCCTCCTCCAGGCCATGAAGGCGGAACCCCCCATGGATGCCAAGTGCCGCGACAAGTTCCTGGTCCAATCCGTCCCCATTACCGCCGACAAGGAATTCGCTAGCATCGCCAACATTGTGAGAACAGACCCCAACGCCGGTCCGAAGTTGTGGCGCACATGCTAATTATTCTCGTTCACCAGCTCGACCAGACAGACAAGGCTACCCTTCAGGAGAAGAAGATTCGCGTCATCTGGCTCGCCGCTGAGGACTCATCGAACGGACCCAGCGCGTCTGCCGTCGCTTCCACTCCCAGCCGTCACTCCGTCGTCAATGGCGTGAGTTCCCCCTTGGGTCCAATGTTTTCTAGGTTGCGATAGCTGACAAATGCCAGGACCATACCCCCGATGTCTCCCGCGTCTACTCGTCTCCCAGCCAAGGGATGGATAGTGCTAGTCCCCAGCCCGCCGCGCCCGCGAGCCCCGATGTGAAGGATGACACCGTTTCCGAGAAGGCGGTCTCGACAGTGAGCGCCGCGAGCAATGTTGTTGCCAACACTGCTCAGGTCACGTATGATGAGCTCAAGCAGAAGCTTCAGCAGGCCGAGGCCAAGATCGCCGGTCTGCAAGATACTAGTGGCCTGCGCCAACGTGTGAAGACCGAGAGCGAAAAGCTGCCCAGCCCGCAACAGGCTGCTGCGGCAGTAAGGCAGGGAGCGGAAGGCGTCCCCGTTCAGATGGTCGCCATCCTCTGCCTCGTCAGCTTCCTCCTCGCATACTTCTTCTTCTAATGCTTCGGCGTCTTCTGATATTCCCCTTTTTCTACGGTCTTTTTTGTTGGAGGATTTACGAACACACCCCAAATGGCAGAGACGTGCGGTCGACTGTTGCCAGCATACTCAAGAGCCATGGGGAAACGGCACAGCGAGTGGAGGAGGGTCTGTAGGTGACGATAGTGAGTACGGAAGAGGATCCATTGATGGCCTCTGACACGGAACGGAGTCGCAAATCACACTTGTGACTATATGGCAGTTCTTTTTGTCGTAACGGCCCGGCGTCCCGGACGCAAAGTTTTCAATTCTGAAGCTTTTCATATGTCAATTGGGCCCATTGATGCACGTTCAATTACATGTGCGGATGGTCCAGCTCTGGCACCGCTGTGAATGAAGTCTGGGGTTTATGACGATCTTCCCGACGGAACGGAAAGGATTCTCTATATCTCGCGTCCCCAGTTATTATTACCAAAAAAAGCCCCTTTTCAATGTCTTTTTCATATCGACAGGGATATATCTTCAACCATGATGTACTGCAATACACTACTACTCGAGCAGTAACTTTTTACTCTATTTACTCTCTCAACGCCCCCAAACCTAGGCTCTATTTCTCTCAAGCCTCAATCTCCTCCTTGGTCCAATTGGCATTGCCGCCAACCATGCGGCCGCCCTGCTTCCTCTTGACGCGGCAGGTGATGCCGACGTTTTCGTCCCAGATGAAGCGCCAGATGGCGTAGGTCCAGCTACGGTGGTAGGGCAGGTCCTCGTAGAACTCGCTGGCGATCTCGCGAAGGGCGGGGAGCCTGGTCCAGGGGACGGCGGGGAAGTCGTGGTGCTCGTTGTGGAGGCCGACGTTGTAGGTGAGGAAGTTGAGGGGCCCGTAGTAGGAGAAGGTCTCTGGGACGGGGACGCCGTTGGCGGGGTCCTTCTGCTGGGGGGAGACGGTCTCGTAGACGTAGTGCTCTGCGATGAAGTGGCCGGCGAGGGGGTGGAGGGAGCCGGCGAGGAAGGAGGAGACGAGGAAGTAGAGGACGGCGTTGGGGCCCCAGAGGGAGTAGAGGGCGTAGTCGAAGGCGAGCTGGACGGCGATGTTGAGGTAGTGCAGGGGCGTCAGGGGCACGGAGTAGACGAGGGTCGGGCGGACAGCGTAGAAGAAGATCTGGAAGGTGCAGAAGAAGGCCTTGCCGAGGATAGAGTCGAAGAAGACGGCCTCAAGGGCGGTGGGAAGGTCGGTGTCGAGGCCGTCGACGCCGAGGGACTTGTGGTGGGTGAGGTGGTAGGGCTGGTAAAGATGGTATGTCAGTATGTTGTGTCTCGATATCCTGGGGGAAAGAGAGAGGACTGGCTCACCCTGAAGGAGGCGCTGTACGGCACGCCGATGGGCAGGTTCGCGAAGATTGCGAAGAGGCGGTTGGCCTGCGGGGAGCGGAAGGCGAGGTTATGGGAGATTTCGTGGATGGCGAGGAAGAGGTTCTGGTTCGCGGTGGCGCCGAAGACGTAGCCTACGGCCCAGAACTTCCAGGACCAGAAGGAGGTCTCGCTGAGGTACCAGGCCCAGAAGACCTGCATCGCGACGACGCCGGCGACGACATACTTTGTCAGGGGCTCGGGACCGCAGAGCTTGGTGACCTGAATCGAAGAAAAAACGGAACTTGTCAGTCTTGCATATTGCAGAATGATACGGGAGCCGTTGGGGTTCCCGGGAGAGGCCTTACCTCTGGGTGAGCCTTGATGATGGCCAGACGGCGGGTGCGGTGAGGCTCCTCGGTGTAGGTCCAGAAGAAGTCGCGCTCCTTGGAGGCCGGGGCGGGTTGCGCCTCGGTGGTGAGCTTGCCGGCCGCGGCGGCAGCGGTCTTGCGCTTGGACGGCTTCGTCACTGTCTCAGCGGCGGACGAGGCCATTGTTGCTGTGGTTCTTTTGCAGGAAAGGGTGCTTTGCTTGCTTTGCTTGTGGCGTGACAAGTCAAAAAGGCGTCTCGTCCCAAGAAAGTTGGCCCCCCGATATCTGGGTTGTTGTCGGTGGTGGACGGCAGTAAATTATTGGCGGTGGAAAATCTGTCCTAAACCGGGGAAAAGGGGACGACGGGACAGAGAGGGTGGAGGACGAGGGGCGAAGGGGGAAAGTGGGAAGAGGGAAACGAGAATCCGATCACCGTGGTGTGGTCGGGGTGGGTTGGTCCTCAGACGGTCATTGATATATATATATACGTAAAGAAGGGAACAGTGCTTCTCAAACGGGAAAAGGACAAGAAGAAAAGAGAGAGAGAGAGTCCCTTGATGAACCACGCGTAGTTAAATTTTGACGTCCCTCCTCTGGCGCAAATATCGAGCGGTGGTGGGAGAAGAATCATGCCTCGACAATGGCAAATCTCCTGATGCGGGCTGTAGGGGATCCGGAGCGGTGTACAATGCGCCGCTGGGGGGACTTGGGGACTTTGCCTTCTGGACCAGTGTGCTGTGGCGCAGCGGGTATCAGTGGGGGAAGGGGACATCCCTGCCCCGCTGTGGCCAATCGTTCGGGGCATGTGTTTTGCCTTTCTGCTTTGCTTCGAAGTGGTGGTCGCACCAACGAATTTTCGTGAGGAGCTCTTTTGGGGGGAGAGACAGGGGATGCTGTGGCGTGGCAGAGAGAGAAAAAGACATCGTTATTTTGTTTCTGGTGCTGTTGAAGGCTGGAGAAGGACGATCTTGGCCTTGCCCCCCTTGTTGTTTCCCCTGAACCACCAACACCAACACCACCACACCCACCCCAAAGAAACGGTTGAGGGAGGGGAATTGGGGAAATTCTAGAACCCCCCACTGCACCCCTTCTCCAGTTGCCTCGCTTCCCCTGCAGGTCTCTGTGCGACGCATCTGGGGGAGAAGGATAGGCGCAGCAATGTTATCGTGCATGTGCGAGATGGAGCACCACACCTTCCACCTCCTCCGTCCGTCTGCATCTATCTCTCTCACTCTTTCCCAATGGCTTTCGTTGAAGTCTCACGAGCGGTGCTGGGATCTGTTTTCGTCGCTTGTGCAGAGCCAATGGGCATCTCGGCGCAGGTCATCATCTGACGGGGTCTGTACGCCGTCCTGTTGCATTGGAAGCTTGAGTGGAGGATGATCCCTGCCGCCTGTTGGAGTTGTAGGGTTCGTTCTTCTCTTTTTAAGCTTCATGTATGCGGCCTGTTGTGGCTGCTGTCTGATCAGGTACCGGATGAAGATTACGTCGTATATCAAGTGATTCCCCCAAAGATACGTTACGCATTGCTCGTGCTGTGCGAGGGGAGAGGCAACGCAAGGACGATCAACACCGCGTGGTGTGTTCAGATTCGGGCCCGGGGATGGAGGCCCGTGAGTGGATGGAGGAAAGGACGCCGATCCCCCGTGTTTTCACTCTCCTCCCGCGCCGTCCTAGGTTCGGCACTGTGAGCCGCGGGACGGTCAGAGACATATTGGGATGTCATATCGGAGTGGTTACATTGGCGCGAGTGATTGGGCTGTTGAGCATGCCGCCCCTGCCGCGTTGTTTATCCGCCATGGTAATCCAGAGTTGCTTTTGCAGAGTGAGATTAAACACAGATTGCTCTCGGAGGGAGCTGGGCCGCGGAGAGGGGGAGGAGGTCAAGAGAGTCTAGACATAAAGTTGGGCCAAGGTTTGACACGACGTTGCGACGAACGCTCCCCTCTGCCCAGCATTCGAGTGCACACATCACGACAACGCGAAACTTCACCATGCGCCTCGTCCTACTCTCGACGCTCCTGGCGTCCGTCACCGGCGTGGCTGTCGCAAAACCCGAGAAGATCAGGGGCGTCAGCGACCCCGTCTACCACTTGTACCTCCAAGCATACCCGAAGGACAAGACGGTGCCCGTCCTGGGGCCCGAGGCCTCAGCCGAGTCTTTCAATATCGCGGGCTCCATCCAGAGCGCCAACTCGAGCTCGTACCTGAACATCGGAAGCGATACCACGTCGTACAAGAGCCTCAAGTTTAGCAACGCCTCGGAGACGACGGCGTGGGGGCTCGAGGGCGACACCATCATTACGACACAGGGGAGCACCTGGGGCCGCCGTGAGTGAACCGTGTCCTTGTTATCGTTTGCTGCATCATTGAGGAAGTCATTGTGCTGACCACGCGAGAGAGAAACAGAGCTGAATTTCTTGGTTTGCGAGCTTGAGCAGGGGTACTGGCAGGTGTACCTGCAGACTGGGAGTGACACGCCGAGCGGCAAGACCTGCAGCAATTATCAGACGATCCATCTTCCGTGCTTGTGTTAGGCAGATGCAACTTTGGCCTGGGGGTGGTTGGTGGTGGGTTTGGCTAGTTAGGTGGAGGATGAGCTGTGTGGACGTTACATTTAGGTAGCAGCCAGATGATCGCCCTGTCAAGAAGCAGCCCGGGGTTGCTGAAGAAACATCCCGTATGTGTTGGTATGTGCGCCTGCGTGCCTGCTTGTCTCTGTGCGACTCAAGAAAACATGGTTTTTGTGATGCTTTGCATAGATGAACAGGGAAACCGTTGGCTGTCAGAGCAAGCGGCCCTCGGCGATCGGCCGGCGCGAGTTTATTAAAATCCCGATGGGAGGCTTGGGTTTAGAGGTTGTGCCACTCAATTTTGAGTTACTTGTCAGGTGATATGGGCGGGAGTTCAGGTGGCTGAGTAAGTTGTTGTTGGAGTAGGTGCTGTTAGATCAGCGAACAAGGATGAAGAGGGTTTGTTGCACAATGCAATGTTACCATTTGCAGAGATACAAGAGGGTTGACTGTGAATACTCGATAGGCTGGATGTAGGAAGCGGATGTAGGAAGCGCAGGAGAAGCAGAGGCAACAGATAGCGTTAGGCTCAGGTTGTATATCGGAGACTTGGCGGCGACTTCCGTGCACCAGCATGATGCGTATGCTGTGTTCTGTTCGCATCTATGTCGAGAATAGGAAAATGCTCATCAGGGTAAGTCTCACTTGTGCTGTTGAGAGTCAAGTTGCGGTCCCGGAAAGGAAGCAGTGGCACGCGAGGCCCTTGATTAATGAGCAGTCGGGGTGGTACTCGACCCTGTCGCGGAAACTCTGCACCAGGAATAATGTTGGAAGAAACGAGAGAGACCGGGAGACAAACTCTCACAATATTGGGCGGTGTCCGCGTGAGGCGACAGTTCCTCAGAACATGGGTCGTATGCCAGATTGTCAATCTGATAAACATGGCGTCCACTGCCAGCATCAAGAGCAGGCGCTTAAGGCGACAGGCCCATGAATGTAGACCGAAGATGCAAGGCGATGGCTGCGAAGACAGCATTTCTGGATTCCGAGATTCCCGTCAAATAGTCTTAACCTTCAGCTTGATGGGTAGATGGAGACGTCAAAATGTCCATGTGACTCGCAGGAGGTGCAGCGACTCGAAGCCTAAGAAGGGTTAGGTAATGTTGAGAATGAGACAGACGAAGGAGGGGCCCCACGATTGGCTGTCACATGCAGAGTTCACGACGAGCAGCCAACAGTCGTTGGCCTAGGGCAGGGATGATATCAGAAGGGAGCGGAATGGCACAAGCAGAGTGGAGGCGCTCTCCATTTGCCAGGAACCTTTGGCTGCAGGGCGCTCTGCAACGCTGCAATAACCGCTGCAATATCTACCTAATTTCCAACAGGGCGAGGGGCCATTGATTCTGGACCGGCTGGGTTTTGGAGGATCCAGACCGGACCTGCGTCTGGTAATCGCAGAGGGCGGGCGATAGGGGCACGCGACCTGAACGATGTCCTTTCTTACGCACCAACTTAAATATGCACCTCTCCAAGCAAAAGGTACAATACAGGGTACTTTGTGTTGTAGTAAGCAAGCTTGGCGCCCTCTGGCTTGAGCCTACGTAGAATGGGATTGTTGCTGTTTGTCAAGGCAGAAGAGACAATGAAACCGTTGCTATTATACATCTTTTCTTTGAGAGTGAGATGCCACAGAAAGAAACAGTGAATCAAAGACACCTGAGAAGTTGCAGCTTCACCGCCAGCAACCAACCACCAGTCTTGTTGTGCGACAGGTACTTCCCAAGCCAACCAGAGGCTGGTTCTTGTGGTTCTGTGTCTGTCCCAGTGTCATTAACGCCATGTGAAGATAAGCTAACCTAGCTACCTCACCTTCACAAGTGCCAGAAGTACCTACTTAGGCGAATGGGACCACCAGTAGGACCGGCCTTAGCCTTAACGATAAGCCCAAGCTCCAAACTCTGGGTCCCAAGAGCCCAGGCAGGTCTGCATCCGCTTGCGCTTCCTGCCACCTCGCCCAAAAATCTCCCGTCCCGGTTGAATTTAATCACCCAGGCTTCCAGACAGCGGCCCACCTTTGCGCTCCTTCTCCTCCGAGCGAACGCGAAAGCCCACGTTCCACAATCACGGCCTCTCCTACAGCTTTCAGTCGCTGTAGAACCACCACAACTCCGAATCTGCATCGCTGCTCCCTTGGCTGACGAATCGAGAGAGAGAGAGAGAGAGAGACGACCGCTTCCCTGCTTCGACTCCCATCTCGGCCTCGGTCCTCTCAACGTCTCGGTCTCTGCACCGCACCACCGGATTACCTCGAACGACCCCGAAAAGCACCACCAGGCGCTTCCTCCCTCGCTCTCCCTCCGAACGAGCCCCCTTCCATATCGGTTCGCCAGCCAAAGTGGCCGGCCATCGCCAGAAACAACCTCCTCTCTCGGCGCGGCTCCAGCAAGCCAGCTTGTCGCGCCGATGTGGTGGTTTTTCCGCATCATCGCTAGTGCCATCTTCTTGCTGAGCATAGTCCTGTCAATACCCGTCGCCTTCGATGTAGGAGGCAGAGACAGCGGCTTGGCCTACAGCCTTGCCCTATGCGGCTTCTACTTCGTCTACTCCGCCATCGCCGTCGTCACCCCCGCCGAGTCGCGCGTCCGCTGGGCCATCAATGTCATACTCCGTTTGTCGCAATGGATTGTCATCCCGGGCCTCCTGATCTGGGCTCTCGGCCGCTTCGCTGTAGACGCCGGTGCGACCAACTGGGTGGAGAGGACGCTGCAGGGTATCACGAGCTCCAAGACAACGTCATGGGGCGAGTGGGTGTTTGGCGAGGGCGGCGTGATCGAGACCATTACCCTGGGCGGCTGGGATAAGACTCTGATATACTCGAGCCCCGTCTTCCAGCTGTTGGAGGGCTTCTGCACTTTGCTTGTCATCCAGGCAGCGGGTCAGATTACAAAGTGGTTGGTCAACAGAGGAAGAAGCGATACTTGGGTTGTAAGTGGAAGCTCCGTTGGTCGAGTCAAGATGTCTAGATTGTCCCTGCGGGGACATGATATCGACGCTCAGAACCCCGTTCTCTTGTACGCTTGCTAACGTCGTGCCAGATTATTCTGCTCGCTATCTCCGGCAGTGTTCTCGCCAGTGCCGTCTACTTCCTGTGGCGCGTCGCCCACTTCTCTTATATTGACAACTTTGATGCGATCAGCATCGGCGTCACCATGACCACGGCCTTCTTCCTGTGTGCCTATGGCATCGGCAGCGGGCGCGGAAACCCCATCGAGTCTTCGCTCCTCTTCGCATACGTCGTCCTCTGCGTCTACCAGATCTTCACCGACTACCTTCCCTCCGAAAACACAGAGGCAGAGCACAACCAGTCGTCGCAACCCGAATTCCCGCCGCTCCCTCCAATCATCATGGCGTCTTATTCTACTCTCTTGCACATGCTCGGCTCACTTCCCCACGCCGTTCACTCGTCGCTCAGTCTTCTTTACGCCGCTTTCCAAACCATCACCCCCTCCGTTATCATCTCTCTCGCTTTCCGTCTCCTTGTCTTCTACTGCGCCACCCGCATCATCCCCGCAGTCCGCGAATCCGGAGCCAGAGCTCTCATGGAGGAGCCTTCTCTTGAAGATACGGACGCGGCCAACTGGCTCATCGGCATCATCACTTACTTTTCCCCATCAATCCTCATCGCCATGTACACGAGTTTGCTGTTGCAACACTTCTCGACTAACGACGGGCCAGATGGATGGACGCTCAGAGGCGGGGACCCCGGCGGCAACGTGTGGCGCTGGACAAACGTGATCGCAACCATGAGTCTGTACGCCATTGAGCTTTACCTCGGCGAGGGAGACCACGACGGCGGTCTGACGAACCACTGGAAGCTGGACTGAGCGACGCACCGCTCCCTACCATCTTTCTGAAAGTCGTCCTGGGACATGGGCGAATCACCCTGAGCTCTCGGGGTCTAATGAGCGCAACCTGCTCGAGTATGTGGGGGCAGGACACCAAAAAAACCGATTGATCAACGTACATAGGGTCGTTATGACACAAGGGCTTTGGGCACGGAAAGGGGACAGGGACAGGCACAATACGGCGTTACTGGAGGAAGTCTGCATGCTCCAACGGCGACTTTTTTGTTAACTATGGATTCTGCGGGGAGGGCTTTGACGGGACTTTTGACTTTGGCAGCCCAGGGGCATATTACTATTACTGCCTCGAGCTTTTCTATCTTGCAGTAGGAAACTCATTTACTAAATTCACCGCATTGGAAATATTGTTACGGTCTGGCATCGTGAGCGACGTTTGACGTGAGCTAATGTGTGGACGGAATGGCACAGATGCTCTGGTTTCGTTGAGCCCCTTAGCTGAGAGCACAATATTAACATGCCCATATTTGTCCGAGGATACGAATGCGCGTGAGGCAGTCTTTCAGTTTCCAACTTCGATAGTCGGTCGTGGCTAATCCGCCGCGAAGAGCGCAAAGCGATGGAACGGCCTTAATAGCCGATGATCTCTCTAGTCACCTTCTCGCCCTGTCTTTCTCTGGCAGAATGATCTGGATCACGTGCCGGGTGGGAAAGATATTGCCTGGAGCTATAGCTGTCCGTTGATGAGAGACCCAGCCCGTTCCTTCCCAAACACGGGCAGTTGCTCCTTCCCTCGCAATCACAGCCCCACCCCCCTCTGCTTCCGCCTCACCAACAAAACAGCCAAGTCCAAGGTTAAGATACTTAGCCAACTTTCGTCTGGTCTTCTTTCAACAGTTCGGCAGGGAAACCACCCAAGTGGCCCAGTCGGTAAAAGCGAAGCTTAACAAGTTCCTCTCTAGAGAT